TCAGTGTTTGCCATCAAAGCTCCAGCTCTCCATCGTGTCTCTCTTTGAGTCCTGACTCCAATTGCTTCAGAAGTTTCCCCCACATTTATCATATTATTTGGCTTTGTTGGCATTACAATATTGAAAACAAACCAAAAACTTTTATATTAAAGTGAAGTCAAGAGTTTTTTTATTATTAATATAATAACACATCTATAGTGGGTATTGTGCCAACAAATATGGAAATGCATCACACAATGATAACATAAGTTAATGTACTTGACCCACTATTGGTCACAAGAAACTATTGTCAACAACCACTGGCCTAGCATTAGTGTTTTGTAAAATATAAGGTATATATAATTAATACATCTATGTTGTCTTCTTTGGCCGTTTTATTCTGCCAAGTGCTATAAATGTAGTGTTTCGTTGTATTGGAGATCGGGGTTATGGGGTGAACAAGTGTATCTGTTGACATTCAATGCTTCTTATTTAGCGTACAGACACAAGTACATCCACCTTCTCACTTAATTCTCCGCATTAAGCCATATTCTAAAATGTCAAACCTTTTCTGAAGAGTATATATAGTGTGTGCGTGCATTCATAAAACCTGGAGCAGGAAACAATCACAAGAACACGTAAAACTTTGTGTCACAAAAGATTACAATTTTAATCACCATTATAAATCGGTCTATAAATACATGGTTTTCATATCATTAAGAATTTATTTTAAATAGCAATCGATAAAAACAATTAGTCGGGGTTGGTCAGTGGGTTCAAAGACAGATCAAACAACACAACAATCTTCTGGGTCTTAATGAGACAAAACTGTAACAATTAGTGGAAGTCACTGTGTGTGTGTGTGTGTGTGTGTGTGTGTGTGTGTGTGTGTGTGTGTGTGTGTGTGTGTGTGTGTGTGTGTGTGTGTGTGTGTGTGTGTGTGTGTGTGTAGTTTGGTTTCTTTGCCCGGGTCTTCAATTCGATCCTCCTTCATCACCGCTCTGTAAGAGAGAAATTAGAAAGGCTTACAGGAAAGAAATCTAAACAGTATGAATATTGTTATCCTGTTGCATCTTTTTTTTACCAATTAAGCTAAATATGTTTAATTAGGAAGTGTCAGGAAGACTTACTTTCTAATTTCATTTTTAGTGGTGTCAGTGCTGCCGTTGCCTGAAAAGCACACAGAAACAATACATGTAGCTGCTGTGTGTGGCTCAATGTTGTGACATTAAGGTCTTAAATCATTGTTATTTTGTGTAATGCCAAACGCGGAGAAATGGAAGAGCAGCTTCTCTTTTTGTACCTTCTTGATAGCATTCCAGTCTTCAAGGATGTCGATTTCCCTCAACATGTAGACGATGAAAGGCCCTGTGAGACAGAGAGGTGTTGGATCAAATCACAAACTACAAAAAGACAAAAAGTCATATAAATATGAGAGAAGAAGTTTTACCTGAAACCAGAGTCACTTTTTTTTTCCGCTCCGACCGGCCAAGCAGGTTCTTTCTTTTACACTTCTTGCCCCTCGTCTCATCACTCCACTCTGGAATGAGACAAATAAAACGTCCATTACTAAACTCATCTTACTGTTAGATTGATTTATTCAGACGAAATAGGCCCCTTGAGGCAAATGTGTGATCATGGGCTGTATTACATGAAAACAAACTTAAATTAATGAATTAACAATCATTTAGTACACAGACTTAGCATAATGTATTCAGATTTATTTTTTCATCTTTCTAAAGTTCTAAAAGTAATGACTTCTTGATGGAATGCAAATTAAATTTATGAGCATGATTAAAGTCATTTACTAGATGTATTGAAGCCGAAATAGATTTAGTTGTAATTGTAGGTACAGTATAGAAAAATGTAGATAGGGGAACAGCAAACAGTCCTCAGACGGCAGTGAAAGATACTGATTTGTACCTGAGGTGAGGTCTGTATTCTGTCTGTCCTCCTCCAGTCTTCTGATCTTCTCCAGCAGTTCAGACTTCATGGCATCTAACAGCAGTGACCGCTCACTCTGTAGCACACAATCATACACAAATACGTACCAAGTTTGTTCAATAACATTGGCTAAAGTGTATGTGTGTAGTATATTATCTTTGTGTGTGTGTTACCTCCAGGTGCTGCTTTGCTCCTTGTAGTTCACACTCGTTCTTGTGTTTGATCACCTGCAGACACAGCTCTCTGTACACTCCTGCAGTTAAAGACAGAGAGGATACTTTTAGATTTTTTTTGACAAAGTTACCATTTATCGATTATAACACAGAGATCAAAAATTGGCTCCTTGGTCCAAGCGGCTTGCAGTGTAAACAATGAGAGAGAAATCACTGCTCATCATAATTTAGTTTTCTTTGTGTGTTTGACGTACCGGCCACTTGAGTTCGTATCTGCATGCTCTCCTGCAGAGCTACCAGAGGTTCTCTGTATTCTCCAGCCTTTCCTGTCAGAACCTCGTCCAGCTTCACCTTAATCTGATTCTGCCGCTCTCGAAACAACCTGCCATCACATAGGAGTCGTTTTTTTCTTCTGTCTATCCTTCATATGACGGATTATTTCACACCAGAGGGACAACTTACTTATCCTTTAGCTCCTGAAATTGCTTTTCCAGATCCATCATCTCATCGAGACATTCTCCTCTCCTCCGCTCACAGTCTTCATCGTCCATCTCTTAACATAGGAAGACATATCAAGTGAGAAACAGTGCATTTACTCATGGAGCACTTTAGCAGAGCACCTGGATCTTACCTGAACTCTCCTCTTCCTCCTCTTCTTCCTCTTCCTCACTATCCTCCAAGTCGCTGTCCCTGTCCTCGGCACTCTCCTCCATGGTCTCCTCTCCGTCTCCAACTCCTCTTCCGTCCTCTCGTGGGCGCTCCACCTCTCCGTTGGCCTCAGGGAGTTGTGACTCTCCTTCCGCCTCCATCTCCTCCTCCGGCTCCCTCTCAGGGGGCTGGGCTGGCATGGCAGACTGAGAAACATGCACACACACACAAGTTTAAAAGTCAGCCATCTCTGGTGAACTGATGGTCGTTTTATACACTGGCTAACTCATTCGGACTTTTATACGTTTGCATTTTAGTTGAATAATGGTGATAGAAATCACAACTGCCTTCCACACACTGACACTGTTGTATGGCGGGATTTATAGATTTTTTCCTTATCGATTCATCTCCAGATTATTAGTTGATGAGTAACAACGCTGCAGCTGGGTTATAGTAATAGGGTAATAGTAAACAGTTTACTGTAAACCACAACAAAGAGCACAGAAAGCAGATAAAGGGATGACTCGTATTATTATTTCGGTGAAAGACCAACTTGTCAACTGAATTGTAGCTGATAAATGAAAATATTTTTTTAAAACAATGGGACATCGCACTAACGCTCCCGTGTCTGTCAAGCCAGATAACAACACACAAAACAGAGAAAGACCGGAAATGACCCGGTTTTGTTTGTTAAAAAGCAAAAACAGATAACTTATCTTACAGTTCACTATGAGTGCTTTGTAAAAAACATATTACAAATGAAATAACATGAGGGTATGTCCTTCAACATGTTGCGTTGTACATTAATAGGACCTTTATTTTGTAGCATTACCGGAAGTACCATTTCCATAACTTGACCACTGGCAGCTTCCGTGATGTCATACAGTAAGAGACATTAAATCGACGGAGGTATTTACAGTAAAAATAAAGACCAGAAATGAGCCTAAACCATTCAAAACTGCCTGTCCATTTACCTACAACCCACAATAAATTAACCGAGACTCCTCTTTGCATTTTTATATCGAATTAGTGGCAGTTAAAGCACAGTGAAGTCAAGTGCAACACTAGCTAACGATTGAAACCACAGCGAGGGACAGACTGTCTGCTCATCACACTGTCCGACTGTTGAAGTTCATTTATCGGCACATATTCCCTCTATTCGTAGGAACAGCGTTTAGATGACATTAATCCCAATGAAGCATCGCCTCAATCTGCCTCCATCCTCCAACTGTACACGGATTAACAAGTAACGTTATCAAGCAGGCAGGCGGAGCTGTTAGAAACAGAAAGTCTTCCTTTCTCCGGACCCTTCACTCACCTTCTCCCTCTGCTCCGCTGCACAACGTTAAAGTATCATGTTCTATATTTACAATTTAAAAAGTACTTCCTCTTCACTTCAGTCCCCAGTTCGACACTTTGCCGGACTCTACAACCCGTCAATCCAACCAATCAGCGCCGAGCCGTAATGCTGTAAAGACCAATAGGAGAGACCGCCCCCAAACGTAGTTTGTCCAATCAAAAGCTCAAGCAGATTCATAAGGCCAATCAGAATCAAGTTTGGTGCCGTAATCCATCAGAGTTGGCCAATAGGATCGACTTTATAGAAAATACCGCGCATCTCCTTTTTTTCAATTTTAAAATAATAATAGGAAGTGAGATTACACATGCATTATAATAAATACAACGATAACAGGTGTGAATTATTACAATAATACATTTTTTTTTCACAAAAATGGACGTATCCCTTTTAATTTAAAATATTAAATCATGTTTTAACAAAACATGTTTTGGTTCAATTCATGAAGTTTCAATCAAATTAGTGTTGGTAGATTTTTCTTTGTATACAGTGCAAAATCATAATATCATTTATCTCTGGGCTTTTCTCATATAAAGCAGGTATAGACTACTCTTTATCATGACCAACAATTCCTAGACCTATTTTGCTTCCCACCATGGTGTAAATCATTTCTTAAATTAACCACAAGGTGACACTAAAGTAATACAACATGTCTGGACAGCTATTCAATTGATGTCGGAATTCATATAATCTAGGCATTTTTTATGGCAGACATTTTGGCCTGTTATTGCCTGAACAAATTGTGGATGGAACAAAAACAACATTCATGTTATTAAAGCATCTGTGCAACCTACTGGGGAAAATGTTTTCTATTCAAATAGTCCTATAAAGAATGGGTTTTATCTTTATTTATTCATAGAAGTTGTTAATAAAGCACATAAAGAATATAAAAAGTAAATTAATTATTTGTTGAACTATGTGCAAGCTAATATTCTGTTGCATAATTGTAGGTAAGGCTAAGGTTTTCTGAAGCAAAGAATGACAAATGAACAAAACAACAATATTTACATTTTACATGTTTTTATTAAAGTTGCATAAAAGTGTAACAAAATTGGGCAAAAACAAGACCTGTTGTTGATATTGCTACATTTGTTTGTGGTTTCGATCTAATCATTGTCCAAAAAAAACACCTTCGCTCCTTCAATCTGCACAGTTTAGCTCTTGTATTTAGCCTCAATGATGATAATCAGTATATATATTTTTTTTTTGCAATTTTCTCCAACAGTAAAAAAACAGACTCCTCAATAACAGTCTAAGAAGATATAATCCAAACCTGGATTCAGACAAGAAAATCCACTCAAATTCACCTACTGATTGATCATTCCTGGTACAATCCGATGTCTCCGAAATAAAACGCAGACCGTGCTTGATTTGGAAACCCCACTAGGAAGGCAAAAGCAATCGCACCAAGGTGTATCTGAGTGGATTTGTGTTCAGCTATGTTAATCCAAGGCATGGCATCAATTAGTGTCATGATCACAATAAAAACAGCCCAGTATTCAAATGGTAAATGCAAGGAACATTGTTTCATCTAAACAAAATCACTGTATCAAGTATTAAACACTCACTTCTAAAAAGAAAAAAAAAAGAAATCTCATTTTGTTTTCCAAAAAAGGAGCGACAGGAGATTCTCCACATGTCGCAGTTCTGCTCACGTGTTTAGCAGTTACCTTTTAAAAAATGAATGTCTCCCGTTTATTTGGTTTGTGTAACATAAATAATACCTAAGGCAACATCTGTTTTTTTTAAAAAGGAAAGGAAAAAGGATTGAGGGAGGGAGGGAGGGTGGACAAAAGGATGAATATGGGAGGGAGGGAGGAGGAGGGGGATGACAGGCAGGAAGGACAGAGCAGCAAGATGAAAATGGGCGTTTGTGTGTGTGGGTGTGTGTGTGTGTGTGTGTGTGTGTTGGCACTGAGAGAGAAAGACAGACAGTGGAGGTCTGCTGTCTCCGCAGGTGTTAGCAATTGGCCACAGGCACCACAGCTAATGCGTCTCCGATTGGCCAACGGGCTTCAGCCACTGATCCGATTGGCTCAGATTGAGAAGCAGATGGCTTATCCTCGCAGATGATTGGCAGCTGTGGAGGGGGAAGACACACAGGTCCTGTGACAGCTCCCGACCTGTCTCCCTCTCCTCTCTCAGTGTGTGTGCACATCTGTGTGAGAGGCAGCTGTGTTTGCTAGTGTGCTTCCGTTTTCTACGCCCCATGTGGCGTGTGTGTGTGTGTTTGAGCGAGAGAAGAAAAGGAAGGGTAGATGCATTTAGACAGCTTCAATGTAAAACAGCGGCCTCCATCCATCCCTCCCATTGGTGGGTCTAGTGGCATGCAGAGGACATTACAAAGTCTCAACACCAACGTGGAGCTTTAAAGACAATTTCACAGCTTCCACGTGTGTGTGTTGTGTGTGTTGTGTGTGTGTGTGTGTGTGTGTGTGTGTGTGTGTGTGTGTGTGTGCTCCAAATTGACGCCTGACAAACACCAAACAATGTGGCGGACTGAGTAAAGCTAAAATAATAAAAGTGAGGAAGAGACACACAGGGGATGAAACAAAAAAAAACAAGGCAGCTTTGTTCTGGGACCCCCCTTTCAGACTGTCAGTGTGTGTGTGACAAAATCAAGAAAAACAAAACCAGGAACCAGTCCTATTTAAACTAAATCTAATGTGTCGTACTGAACAGCAGAATATACAGGCCGGAAAACACTCCTATTATGTTTGTTGCTGTACATTATGTAGCAACATGTAGCATTTAGCCACACGGACAGACGCACAAATGCATGTATGTGCTTCTAAAGAGCCTCTCTTACAACTTCACTACCCATTGAGGAAAGAAAATAAACTTTTCTTCCTCAAAAATGTGTAATTCAAGTACACCCACCCTAAAGAGAACCTACTTCTACTAGCCTCAAAGGAAGATTTGTAGTCTATAATTAGTCGAACCGTTAGACCACCACAGCAACATTTTTTTTAAGGTTCAACCACTATTTCCAGGATCAGATTTCTCTCTTTGTTGGACTAAAATGACGTCCCATTATTTCTCGTGGTCAAAGGGTTCAGATTTTCTTCCATAAAATTACATAGTGCAGATCCACACACACAGTCTTTAAATGCACCAGTGTAACAAATGCCTCTGATTATGGGAGGAATTATCTGAAAAGACTGTACTGACCCCGCCAAAAAAGTCAAGTGAATATCCCCCCTGCACTGAATCACAATAATCACGGTTGGTAACTCATCTAAAAGAGTAACCCCATTACAAAACAAGGAATCTCATTATAGACATAAGCAGTGATTAGGCCCTGCTTCAAGCTGATTGGCTGTTTCCACCTTCCCCTCTTTTTTGGCCGTCGGAGACTCTTTCCCTTGTTCCTCTTCCCACTCTCAACCGCTCCTCTCAGTAATTATATGACTCCTCTCCTCTTTTTCTCTTCCTCCTCAGACAGATGGAGGGTGGTTTAAAGGGAGGGTGGGAGGAAGAAGAGCTGGAGGAGGAAGAGGAGTAAAAGCCAAAACAAAGGGTGAAGGACGAGGAGTGGAAAGGGGAAGGAAGGAACGTGCCTGGATGAAGCCCAATGAAACACTTGTTGCTAACTTAACTTTACCAATCTTCGTTTTTTTAAGAAGAACGTCCGACTAACAACACAGGAAGGTCACAACACATGGAAAGCTAGCCACTAATAGGGCTGGATCCAGGCAAGAGGAAACAAGAAGACCCTCAATGGATGGAGACTGACGTTAAAAAAAAAAGAAGAAGGAAAGCAAGATAGGAAGACGAGAGGTGGAGGGGAGGGTGTGGGTGAGGAGGAGGAGGGACGCATCATTTCTTTTGAGGCGTGGAGAGCTTCTGCATCCCTCGGATCTTGTCCAGCAGCTCTGAGACGAAGTCCTACGGGGAGAGAGGAGGGACAAAACACATGAGTCAGAAACAAACAGTACATAGATATAAGGGTAAAGTGGAGTGAAGAGAGGAAGGAAGGTAAAACAAATCTCACCTCAGTAGGCTTAAAACACTCGACCACTAAGTCCTGAAAATAAATAGAAGACAGTCAGGATATACATCTCGCCTTTGGCACTTGTGCGTCTTTGCATGAGTTGACATGAGTGTATATTTGTCTCCTACCTTGACCCTGGCTCCCCGCTCTACGTCACTGGGCATATCCAGCAGCTCGTCCACATCGATCTCCAGCTCTGGGATGGCCTCCTCCTAACACAAGAGAAAAGGAGGTACATTAGCCTCTGAACCACACAACCCAACACGGAATTACAAACGCATGATTTCTTCTCATAAAATGCCAAAATTAAACCATTTGTCATAGCTAGAACATTTAAAAGCAGATTTCTTTTGTCAGATTTTCCAGATTCTGACTGCCCTTGAATGAATCATGTGGGACCAACCGTTGTGTATAGAAAAATAACCGAATCTGAGCTTGAAATTGTCAAAAAAATCATCTTGTTTTATGAGTCCCATTCAACAATTTACCAAAAAAATAATTGTTTATATTAATCAGATCCTGGAAAAAACCCTATTGATGTTGCCCTGAAACCATGAATGAATCAGCTAAGATGTCATGTCACGAAATAATCAGAGTAAAATGAACTGAACTGCAAGTTGATACACAGATCAGAATCTAAAAGGTTTTTTTAGGTGACAGCTCTCTTGCAGCACAAACTAGTCAGTCTCTCTTGATGGATTAAGAATAGAAAGGATGATGCAGATTTCTTTCCCTGTTTTATGTTATGTGGTTGTCTGCAAATAGCCCAGCAGAGGCTCTGTCTGCGTGTGATGTAGTGCTGCTCGATTATGGCAAAAATCATAATCTCGATTACTTGGGTCAATGATTGATATCACGATTATTAAAAACGATTATCCATTTACTTTGAAAACATCAATTTATTGGAGAAAAAAAATGTGAACAGTATGTTTTTAACAGTTGATTACCCTGAACTTTAAGTATAACTCAACTGAAAAACCAAGAATCTTTTTTAATTATACATTTAAAAAAAATTAATTAATAATAATAATAAAAAAATAATCGTTTTATTTCGATTACGTTGTTTTCGTAATCGTTGCAAGCCATAATCGTAATTGCGATTAAAATACGATAAATTGAGCAGCCCTTGTGTGATGTGGTGCAGTGACTGATGAATGTTCATCACTGAACACTAGAGGGAGCCGTCCGTCTTTCACGAAAGACAGGAGAGACAAAGACACTTGAAAAAATACCAATATTTTACTTGGATCCAAAATAGGAAATAAAATTGTTCAATTCAAAAGGTATTTGCCTAGATGCCTAGGTGTTTTAGGGTACTTAGTTATCTTCATACAGAACCAGGCTAGTTGTTTCCATTTGTTTGCAGTCTTTATGCTAAGCTAAGCTAAGCTGCTGGATGAGGCTTCATATTTAGCATACAGATCCTTAGAGGTTTCAATCTTGAAATGTTATCCTAGACAAGATATCGAATAAGCATATTTCCAAAATGTGGAACAGTTGCTTAACTCATCTACAGTGCATTGTTGAAGGGTTGCCTGTAAACAGCTGACTGTCACACTGTTGCCAAAAGTGAACACACACTCCTGTTACTCCCATAAGGGCGCTCCTTTGAAATCAACACAAAGTCAGAGAATAACTTCCTCCATTTGAAATTGGCCTGTATTTCACATCCAACCAGGAAAAGCTGCAATAATTGACAATGCACACTTTTAATTCCAGCAAAGCAATTATCGGCTCATACTGATAAACTGACCTCTAATAAGAAGAGCCCCCTTGCCTCTAGAGCAGAGATATCTAGCTCATTAAATAAATGAAAGTGAAAAGTGAGTTCACTGTAAGTTCGTCTTTGTGTCTCTCTTCCTCTTCCTCGCCACGCCTTCTCCCTCCGGCCAATCAATTCCCTTGTTTTCCTGATGAAGTGCTTTAATAGTCTCCCTCTGTTTCTCTGTTTCTCCATCTGTCTCACTCAAGCACACAGGCTCAGTGTGTGCTATCAAAGCCGTCCACCACTGGCAACAAGACACACACACACACACACACACACACACACACACACACACACACACACACACACACACACACACACACACACACACACACACACACACAGAGACTGATCTTCACAACATGTGGGCTCCATGTGCTGCTCCATGCAGTAAAGAAAGAGGCGGCAAAAAACGTGAGAAAGACAAAGAACACAAATACAGAAACAAGATTCTGTACTGTGACTTTGCTCATTTTAGGATAAGAAAAATAGATTTGACTTTTCTTTATGTCTATTCTTCTATATCAACAACATTTCATTTATTTTTCTGTGCCATACTAAAAAAAGTTGCAGATGTTTTGTAAATCTCCCATTGCTCATCCTGAAAGCGATACACATTGGCTCATATTTAATACAGCTTACTTGAAAATGATTTTAGAGACGGACTGTTAAATGTGCCGGGGGGGAAGGGAACGCAGAGAGGAAGGAAGGTAAGAGGTTAAGAAGCATCTCGAGAAGAGGGAGCAGCTGAGGGGAGTAAACCGAGGGAGGAGGGAGGAGGGAGGGATGTTAAAAAAGGCCGGAAGACAGGCTTCAGAGAGGAGACACAAAGAAAGCGGGGAATCACGAGGGAGGGTTTCCAAAACAATCCTCAGACTGACTCGGTGAACTCGTCTGCAGTCTGCAGGGTTTACTGCCGGCTGCAGATGTGATCTGAGAGGTGCCTGCCAGATGTTGGCACGCACTGCAGGCTGGTAAACAAAGCAGAGCCGTGTGCAACTATTGGAAGAGGCACATCGGATTTAGACTTATCTTTTCAGTACTATTGTTTTTGAGTCCATGTGAAACCTATAGTGTAAGAAATAGATAGAGAGAACGAAATGGAAGTTGTTGCTTCTCAATCATCATGGCATATAGTATTTAAATGGAATGCCTCCAAACTGATCATTTGTATATCAGTTTATGGCATGTGTTACCTGTCTCTTGAAGAACATTTCTCACAGGCATCCAAGGTACAAAAATAAATCAAAATCTGAGGAAATTCTTGATAAATGTAAGTAAAATAGAGGGCATTTTTTACAACTGTATCAAAACATCCGTGTACACACTCACACACAAGTCATGGAGTTTAATTCAAGTCTAATTTTTCCAGTCGTATGATCACTACTTCCCAAACCTGTGCCATTGCAACCAAACCGCTCTGCAGCCTGTTTACTTCATCATACCTGGCAACAAGAAATAAAAATGATGCCCACTGTTTCCTATTACTTAGAAAAACCAAGTCCACAGACTAAGTGCAAAGTTTCGGTCGAGTAATACTCATCAGGGATTCATTTCTTGTCTTCAGGCGTTGTTGTTCACAGTATCTGTTCTTTGTCCCTGCAGAGATAGCCTTACTTTACCTTTGAATAGTTGTATCTCCCTTGCAAGAGAGGTTGTGTCTGTTATATCTTGTGTCATAAGACTACACTTCTGTTGATGTTACATACTCGGAACTTTCCCTTTTCAGTCCTAAACAGCCTCACCTTAGAAACTATCTCTATAAACTGCCATATAGACGTTTAATTGCGGTCTCTAAATGTAATTACACTCTGCTGGACAACAAGCGTGCACATATGATTCAGACAGCACCACAATGAGACTGAGACAGACAGCCGGACGGGCACACTGTCTGTCTGCAGGCTGCCCGCAGAACAGAGCAGATGAGATGTGACAGTATGAGAGCGTGTGTGTGTGTGTGTGTGTGTGTGTGTGTGTGTGTGTGTGTGTGTGTGTGTGTGTGTGTGTGTGTGTGTGTGTGTGTGTGTCGGTCGTAGTACAGTTCCTCTCTCACAGGGGCCGGCTGCTTCAGCCCTGGACAGATCAAATGGCAGCTACAGATTCTTCGTAGCTAAAACATAAGCTACTCACACACACACACACACATACAAGTAGGTCAGCGTTCTTCTATTGCAGGAAAAGGCCGATCATCGCAACTGTAAATATTTCCGTAAAGGGAAGTGATGACAGAGAGCAATGAAGTAAAGTCAATGTTTCTAAAGGGAAGTTTGGTCAGACCGTAATAAGGAGTAATGACTCAATATTGAAACAAAAACAAAATAACAAAGAAAATGTAGCTAAAAAGCGTACTTTTAAATACATTTGCAGTTACATTTGTCAAATATATGCTCACAGAAAAATTCATAATATAAACGATTCACCAAATCAACTTTTAAGTCAGTACTCTAACTTAAAATCATATTAAAACTTCCAACACCGAGACAGATTTTCTGGTGAAATGACACACATATAGTGCAGCTACAGGCTACGAACAGGAAAAGATTAAAAATGCAGATATGAAAAGTGAAAAAAGGGATGTGAGTGTAAAAATGAGAAGCAAAGAAATGAAGGTAGGACAATGTTCGGGGCTTCAACTAACAATTATATTGATTCTCGATTAACAGGTTAGTTATTTTGTAGATAAATCTGTTAATCCTTTGGTATATAAAATGTCAAAAAATATCTAGGCGATCTAGATGTAGTTCTAAGCTTGGTCTTTAAATGTCTTGCCAGTCATAACTTCGAATATTATGACTCTAATATGATATTAATCTGAGACAAAGAGGAAAAACTCTATATTTTGGAGGCTTAAACAGCTTTTTGTTAAAAAATGAATTGATTGATTAATGGATTTTCAAAATAGTTGTTCTCTGTATATCACTTAATCATTGCAGCTCTATGTAACTAGCAGATCCACTGCTAATGAACACAGGTCCATATCGAGTGGATATATAAGTTGCTTTACAGTGTGGGAAGCTTGGTGTGTAAGTAGGCCACACAGGGCACCTGCAAGGATTACACAGCACGTCTCCCAGTGACAACATAGGAGCTGATTCCTGTGATAGGATCTGTGTAAACTACAGGTTAGCGTGTGTGTGTGTGAAGAGGAAAAGGGCTAGACACAGAGGAAAGCGATGAAAACATAAAGCAGAGCTGCAACTCTTCGTTTCAAGTCAAAACGCTTTAAGAATTTATCACAAATGACAAGATTTCCTGCTTTTCTATGTCACATATTATATTTTTGGCAGATTAATAGAAAATCATCTTTATCACAGCCATAAAAGCTACTTAAAGCTGGATGCTGAGTGATGAATAGCCACTTTTGCTTTCCCCACAGCCACGGTGACAAAGAAGGATACAAATAGTCAGCGTTCAGGATGGCCAGTCGCCTGCTTTGCAACAAAAACA